CTTGGCCTTGGCATCGGCCTTGGCCTCAGCCTTCGGCTCGGCCTCCACGCTGGAGGGGGGGGGGCCGGCTCGGCGGGAAAAAAAACACCGCGAGACGGAGTGAGAAGGGCTTTTCTGCCACCAGGCGAGGGATGAGAAGCCCCGCCTGAACCGACGACGAGGTGCCTCCCCCTGAAGCCTGCAGTTCCTCGGCGGAGAGAGGAAAGGAGGAAGGAGCAAAGAGGACAGGAGGGGGGGACAGGGAGCAGGAAGCGAGAAAAGCACGAGCGGCGAAGGTATCCGCATCCGCGCCCTCGCGGTCTGGACTTCGGGGCTCGATCCCATGGATACGTGGCCGCACGGGTACATCAAGCGCGGAACATCCGCGAAAAAACTCCGCGCATCCGCGGGCTTGCGGCCTGGGGGCCCAACCCGCGAGTCCGCGGATACGGACATGTTTGTCGCACACGAAAGAGGGAGGAGGGAGAGAGAAGAGGTATGAACCTCACGATGCTCACAAGTCCGCGGCATGGAAAGAGGCCGATGCGACCGGCTGGATGCACAACGACATTGAGGTACACCTCAATCTGTTCATCAGCCGGAGGAACCCTTGCGACGGGAACAATAGCCAGGTGGTGAACACCGTGGACGAGAAGTACACTCTAGCAGCCCAGCTTGGGACGGCAGGCAAGGGAACCAACGCGTCCTTAAGGGTATGGTGTATGGTGCACGACACCGAGACATGCAAATCCCAACGCCGGGAAAAGGAACAGCACAAACGGCACGATCAAGCACGTCCAGGTGAATGTATAACAAGCCAAGTGGATGCTGGACCACTGAACATCCACTGAGTATATAGATGGGTGGCTGATGACGGCAGGCGACTTACTGGATTGCACAAACCAAGTGGTGCCACGGTATTGCCACAACGACCTTCCGCATTGGAGGAGCGCCTACCTACCGGCTCGTGCTTCCAGACAGGAGACCGGGTCGTTTTACGAATGGCGGATGGAGGGTGCGAAGATCTTTGATTTAGGGGAACGAACAATGACATAAACATAAAAACTCGGAGGTCCGCGCGGACCTCCGAGTTTTCATGTTTATGTCATTCTTCGTTTCCCTGTGAATGGAAATCCGGGGCCAGTGCACGCAACGCGGCCAACCTAAGGGGTACGATGCCGCCGCCACCAGGGTACTCATGAAGCTCGGAAGCCACTCCAGCGACGACCTCCGTGGCGCGAGCGCTGGAGATACATGGGATGCAGGACGAATAGAGCACGTCCTGCCACACACTGCAAAGTGTTACCAGCCTGAACACACATCCCTATCCCTAAGCTGGGCATCGCCTCGTCGCAATGCCAATCTTAGGGGTTCCCTGAGTTTTGCAGGGCGCATCCCTAAGATTGTCGTCGCCTTTTGGCGTGTCAATCTTAGGGATAGGGATAAGTTCAAGGCTGGTGAAAGTCATGAAACAACGATCTGCGACGCACTCGGCGACAAAGAGCTACATCGATGTATGACACGCCGCAAGAAGCACAGGAGCTCACGTACTACATGGACCAGGACACAGCGCCAATCCGGAAGAATATCCGGATCATGAGGCTAAAGCATATGCTGGAAGATATCATGGGCGGCACGTGTACAACAGGTGCAGAGGACGAGGACATCGACGGAATTGACGTGTGCGGCGCGATAGGAGCCTAGCAAAGGCAAAACCATCCACTATAACCACGGAGGGCTTTACTGCCCGCGCGAACGCAAGGAAACCAAGAATATTCGCATGCACATGGATATTGGCTGTGGGTGCTACTTCTGACCAGATGATAGCGCCATCGAGAGCAGGGGTCCAGAAAACCATGCTGGACCAGCCTACCAAGGGGAGATAGGCGTGGCACAATCACAGATGGTGCAACCAAAAACAGATTTGTCGCCGGCAACGTGCCCAACGATAACATAGACTGTCCCACTAGTGATGCCGTGGACCACAGCTGGCAGATGAGGTGCCCGCTCGCTGCAGTCCTGAAGATGCGGTGCAGGACGCCATCGACGATTCGACGGTCATCCGAGGAATGACCACAACCGGGAACCTGCTCAAACGGCCGCTGGGTTTGCTTAGGGGATAGAGGGCTTAGAAGCGGAGGCTAAGGTTTGTAATATCTGGCCTAATCTAGCGTATAAGTGAGTCACAGGTGGTCTAGCCCCTTAGCAACCCAGGCAGTCATCTCAGTAACAGGACGAAGAGACCGAACGACACAAGCCGCCCAAGCTGGTCGGCATGCTGGAGATGCCAACCAGAGCTGCCGCCCCCAAGGAGGAGATCGCGTTCGGCGAGCACCACTGAGGTACGGGCGGCTCCGACAGCGACGCCGACACAGAAGGACCCCGCACAGACCAAGGTGGACGAGGCTGTCGCAAGGACGAGAGTGGCCAGCAGGCGAAGGAGAGCGTTGTTTACTTTTCGTGATAGCGGCCGGTAACGGCCCTGGCCCCTCCCCCCTCCAAGGTAACGGCACGACTCGTGCTAACGTCCGAATTGTCTTCGGTTATTCCGAGAGATTCCCAAACGGCGCCAGCGCGAAACGTGACGCTACCGGCCCCGGCCCCCCTCCCCCCACTCTCGCTATCTCCCGGCATCGCCCGGGAGTAGAAAACTCCCCAAGCACGAGAGAGGGAACGTGGCCAGAAGGCGAAGCTAATTACAGGAGACGCGGGGCAAGGCACTCACCAGGGGGATCTCGACACTAACGCAAAAAACTCGGGGAGACAAACGGTACCCATGCCGCTGCTCCCCGGGCCTCTTTTGGGGTGCGTGCTGACCAGGATTCCGAGGCGAATGCAGCAGTGCGACGAGGGAAGGGTAGCGGTATCGGTATCGCTGCCTGACTAGCCCCGAGGCTGCTCCAGCAGGCCCGAGGGGACGCCTGGTGTGCGCGGCCAATGTGGCCACAGCTTCTGCGCGAACGGGCTTCGACGCCTACGCGCGCAGCGCCAGTCCACCGAGCGCTGGCCACCTCTGGCAGGGACCCGCCGAGTGGGCCCTCCGACGCAGAGTGCCTCCAACAAGCCTCCTGGAAAGCCTACCGTTTCATCCGAAGCCGTTTCATCTGGACGAGTTCATGCTAGACGAGCGTATCCCGACGAGTTCGTCCAGACAACTTCTTCCAAACGAGTTCGTCCGAAGATGAGTTCATCCGACGACGAGCTCAGCCCGACACGAGATCATCCGAAGACAAGTTTTCATCTGGACGTATTCATTCGGACAACTCCATCCGGACAAGTCTCAAGGGCGCGCAAACATGGATTAGCGATCCATGGATTTGGCGCGCGGCCACCAAATCCATGGATCAGGGGAGGTGCCCTCCCCAAACTGCGGCCAATGCCGCCTCGCTCGGCGGCGGAAATCCGCGATTTCCCATGGACACGGGACCCGGCGCTAATCCACGCCCCCTGTGATCCATGTTTGCGATCGCCGAAAGTGTCGTCCGCAAGCACGTCCTTCTGCAGGAGCCCGTCACAGAAGAAATCCTCTCCTATAGGGGGTCTGCTAACCCGGGTCAACCCCGACCTGGGTCAGCAGGAAACCAAAAACCTGCGACGCAGGAAAAAACACTGCAACGCAGGGCTTCCGCAAACCCGGGTCAGCCAATGTGCGCGGCCGCCCCGCGGCCACGAGCGGCTCGCTCACCCGGGTCGGCCAGCAGGGGTCTTCGCAGGATCCTGAAGGATACGGTGCCCTGGCTGACCCCCGTTTGCATCGACCCCCGCCTCAAAGCTCCCGACCCTGGCGCGATTGGGGTGTAAAACGGGGCTAGGATCGGGATAAATCGCTCCAGAGCGTTCCGGAGCGCTCTCAGAGCGTTCCGGAACGCTCTGGAGCGGCCGCGGCGCCCAATACCTCCTCCAAACCCGCCGATTCTCAAAGATTTCGAGTTATCCCGATCCGATTTTGTCCCGATCTTCGCGTCGTTGTAGGGTGGGCCCCGGGCGGCCCGGCCCCGTCGGCCCTCTCCCCCTCCGGGCGTCGCGCCCTGCAGGGCTGCGCGAGGCCCGGTCCTCTCAGCGCTCTCGCGCTGCCCCCCCTGGAGGAGGAGGAGGAGGAGGAGGAGGAGGAGGAGGAGGAGAGGGAGGAGGAGGAGGAGGAGAACGAGGAGGAGGAGGAGGAGGAGGAGGAGGAAAAGGAGGAGGAGGAGGGGGAGGAGGAGGAGGAGGGCAGCTTCCCAGGCCCAGGCCCCGCCAGGCCGCGGCGCGTGGAGCGCCGTCATCTTCGCGCCCTCGCGGGGGGGGACATCTCGGGGGGGGCACAGGGGCGGGGCGGGGGCCAAGGTGGTGTTGGAAAGAAAACCGCTCCGAACGGCCCCTGGAAGAAGGAAGCGCGCTAAACGGGAGCATCTGGCTGGGTCCGTTCCCCAGCCCTACCTTGGGATAACCCTCCCTCCACGAACCCCCGAACCTTGGTCCCATGGGAGGCAGCCGTCCCGGGCCACGTTCCCTCTCTTCTTTCCTGGGCATCCTGTGGTGTGGGGTCCTCGACTTGACGAGACAGCACCCCGCGCTCCTCGCTCACTCCTCCTCCTCCCCCTCCTCCCTCCTCCCATCGTCATCATGGTCATCATTGCCACCACCACCACCATCATCATCATCACCACCAACGGTATCCTCCTCACCAGCATCATCATCATCATCATCACCAGCATCATCATCATCATCATCATCATCATCACCACCATCATCATCATCATCATCACCATGACCATGACGATGACCATCACCATCACCAGAGTCAGCATCATAGCAATCATCATCAGCAACATAATCCTCCTCCTCTTCCTCCTCCTCTTCCTCCTTATCACCATCATCGTCATCGTCGTCATCAACATCATCATCATCACCAACGTCGTCGTTGCCACCATCATCAGCACCATCAACAGCAGCAACAGCATCATTACCGTCATCACCTTAATCCTCCTCTTCGTCTTCTGTTTCCTCCTCATCATCAGTACCATCAACACCATCACCAGCAGCAGCAACATCATCATCATCATCGTCATCGCCAGCGTCGCCAT